AATCTTCACTGAATATTCTTCTGCAATTTGTATCAAATGTAAAACCATGTAAGTAAATCACCAGTTCAAAACATAAGTTAAAAATTTTAAGGGTCAAAAATAAAATATACAGATAGACCCCTTTAATTTTTCTAAAGATAAGTAGTATCTGCAACAAAGGTACTACCCAAAATAAAATGAATTATCTGGCTTTTCATTCATTAGTTGTAACTCAGATTCCTTAAATATGAGAATGTAGCATCAGGAAAGAAACTAGGAAGAAGAACTCAGTTAAAAATGAGAAGGAGAGACACCTGGGTGGCTCAGTCAGTTAAGCGTCTGACTCTTGGTCTCAACTCAGTTCTTGATCTCAGCGTTGTGAGTTCAAGCCTCATGTTGAGGTCCACTCTGGAAAAAATGATGACACAGATGGAGGAGGGGAAGAGAGGGACGCCTGAGTGGCTCAGTTGGTTAAGCATCTGCCTTCTGCTCAGGTCCTGCATCAGGCTCCTTGCTCGGCGGGGAGCCTGCTTCTCCCTCTGCCTCTGCCTGCCACTCTGCCTGCTTGTGCTCTCTCTCTCTCTCTCTCCGACAAATAAATAAATAAAATCTTAAAAAAGAAAAGAAAAAAGAAGAGGGAAGAGAAACAGTTCATGCTAGAACCTGTGACTATAGCAATGAGTATATTGCTAAATAATTATTCTATCTGAATTTCAAGAAAACATTTTCTAAGTCACTTGAAAGAGTGTAATTGAAATTTTAGGACAAAATAGCATTGGCAGGGGCACGTGGGTGGCTCAGTGGGTTAAAGCCTCTACCTTCAGCTCAGGTCATGATCCCAGGCTCCTGGGATCGAGCCCTGCATCGGGCTCTATGCTCAGCAGGGAACCTGCTTCCTCCTCTCTTTCTGACTGCTTCTCTGCCTACTTGTGATCTCTGTCTGTCAAATAAATAAATAAAATCTTTAAAAAAAAATAGCATTGGCATATGGAGCAAGTATTGTACTGACATACTTATGCTAAAAATTATTTGTTGGAGGGGCACCTGGATGGCTCAGTTGGTTAAGCATCTGACTCTTGATTTCAGATCAGATCATGATCTCAGGGTCTGAGATCAGGCCCCATGTCAGGCTCTGTGCTCAGTGGGGAGTGTGCTGGAGACTCTTTCTCTCCCTCTCCCTCTGCCCTTCCCACAGCTAACACCATCACTCTCTCTCTCTAAAACAAACAAATAAGTCTTTTTAAAAAAAAATTTGTTTAACTAGACATTTAATTAAACATCCTGTATATTATCCAGCAACCCTAACTGTGAATCCATTTAAAAAAAAAAAAAAAAGAAAAAGAAAAAAAAGAAACAATTCATCAGTTTACCAGCAGATGGCTCCCTGAATCTAGTTTACAATACATATACTCAAACCTAGTGAGGAGTCCTTATTGTCTCAGAGTTTTTGTTGTTTTGAGTGTCTGATTGGTCTGGAGTGATTAGGTCAGTTTTGTGGGGGAGTGGGAAGTTTTTGTTTAGTTATATCAGAGCATAAAATAACCTTTCTCACCATTTCATATGACTCTTCATGATCCTTAACTTTAGAACATGAAAAGGAAATAATAATTTAGTTTTTAATGTATTTCTTTTACGTTTGCTCAAGCATTTTTTTTTATTTGCTTAAGCATTTAAATTCTAAAGCAATATGTATAATTTCAGTGTAAGGTGACTCTGACATTTCACAAAGGAAATCCATGCCTATTAGATTATGTATTCTGAGCATTAAGTCAGGGATCTCCATAAAAAATGTAGCTTTACCTCTTTGATGCAATCTGATTTGCTATGATAGTCTAACATTGAGGCATGTGTTTTGTTTTGATCCAAAACACACATCCAGAACTCTCAATGAAATCATTCATTCAACAGAATTTTTAGACCTGCCATAATTTTACTACCCCTTTGCCAATGCTAAAATATCTTGATGAGTTCAAGTCTAAAACTTATTTTCCAAGATGTTCAAAGATTTCTAGAACAATTGTTGTCTTGAAGTCTATTTTGTCTGGTAACAGTATAGCCACTCAAGTTGTCTTTTGTTTCTAGTTTTTTGCATGGCTATAGTTTCCCATCCTTTCACTTTCAACCTATTTGTATCTTTGAATCTAAAGTATGTCTCTTGCAGCCAGCATGTAGTTGGATTTTTAAATCCATTCTACTATAGTTGGACTTTTAAATCCATTCTAACCTCTGCTTTTTAGTTGAGTATTTAATCCATTTATATTTAATGCAATTGCAGATGAGGCAGGATTTATATTTACCATTTTTCTATTTTTTTTTCCTATATGTCTTATGTCTTGGTCCTTTTATTCTTCCATTTATGCCTTCTATTGCTAAAATAAACTTTTGAATAGAAATTTTAAGTAGACATCGGTAAATAAATATTAAAATAGATATTTAAATATCTTTCCCCTATTGACTGCCAATCTTTCTCAGTCTTTTCTCCACTCACTTTTTTCTTAGTAAATAAATCACAGACTTCAACATATCAAGAAACAAATATAAAAAACAAAGAGACTTGCCTGGGGTTATGCAAATAATTTGTGACATTAGGACTAAAAAACAGGTCTTCTGATTCTATCTAGTTTCAAAGTTCCCACTACCACTGTGCCATGTACATGGACTAAGTTCACCTGTAACACTAGATCCTTCTACACTTGGTCTTAGCCAAAAGGCTGAAAAGCTATAACACAAGATCCTTCTAATGTCTTTCTTGACAGTTTTGAATTTCTTATATTTTCTCCCTCTTGTTTCAGAGGAAGCTTTTTTTCTCTAACTTTTGAATTCAAATCTCTTAACAGTGTTTTCCTAAATGCAGAGCCAGTATGGGAGATGATTTGATGTAATATACTGAATTAGTATTGAGTAACAAGTACATAATGAGAAACCTGCTTTATCCAAGGCCCTTTTGATCCTGGGATTGAGCCCCACATTAGGCTCTCTGCTCAGCGGGGAACCTGCTTCCACACACCTATCTCTATGGCAACTTTTGTACTATCTTCCCTGGGATTTAAGTCCACAATGAGACCATTAACCAGAAGTGAGAGGTAAGGAGGATTAGACACATGATTAGAGTAAATAGTAACCATGAATTCACTTGCCCACAACTGTTTGCTTAAGCTTTACTTTGGGGACAGAGGATCCCATTAAATCTCATTTTCAATACAGTGAATTGTCACTTACATTGACCTATCACAGAAAAATAAAAAGCTCCTCAAATTATATTTCGAAAGACAATAGTATTTTAAAGTTTATAGCTAGCTATTGCCCCACATTTTCAGCAGATTGTGCTGTGTACTGTGTGATGAATAATAAAATGTATCATGATCCTTAAGGGATCCTCATATTTGTAATGTTCTGTGCATGTGTGTGTGTGGAAGACAGTGATATTTTAGTAATATCTGGGATTAAAATGATATTACATATAATAAAAATAAAAAGATAAAACTTTTAAAGAGGGTGTGTTTTATGGGCTACATGATAGCAAGATGGCAGAAAAAGGGGGAATACAGTATGTTCACAAATATTTATGATAAAAATTGAATGGTGCTGAAGTACACATGTATCTACGCATTAATTTCTTGAGGGTAAGGTGCCTGATCATTTCCGTACATTCATGTTTACTTCTAGGGCTGAGCCTGGTGCCAGATACATGGTAAGAATTTAATATTTCTTTATTAAATTTATGGATGGAATGCATTCGTGCATGTAGAAAATGTTATGGGAGCATAGAAGAGGCAACGCTTGACATTCCAGGGAAAATGGAAGTGAGTGGATTAGTGGATAAAATGGTGGGAGACAGAGGTTTGTAGCTGAGACTGGTAATTGTTCCCCAATATCCATTCTCTCCCCTTCTTTCATAGCAATAGTTCCCTCGATTTCGAGTGGGACACATATGCCAAACCTCTTTGCTGCTAGGTATGCCACTGACTAAGTTTTGGCCAAGTGATGTGGGTACATTTCAGGTTATGTCCTTGAAAGGAATGCCCCTTTCCTCTTAATTCCCCCAACCCCTGGCTGGCAATGGACCTGCTGGTAAGCCCCCCTGGACTAAGTTGACAAGGTCAAAGCCCTTATATGCAGCATAAAATAGGAGTGTGGGTCCCTGATGACTTTGTGGAGGAGAGCCCCTGTGCCAACAGGACTTTATGTGAGAAATAAACTTGCTCTGTTGAAGCCAATGGTTATTTTGCGTCTCTGTCACAGTGGCAACATTTATATCCTAATACAAGCATCAGGAAGGATTTATAGAGGTAAGGTTTGCACTGAGCTTCAGAGATTGAGTAGGAGGAGTTCACCAGGTGGACTCAAAAATTTAGGTAGCCATAGTAAAACCCTTTGGGGAGGTTTATATTTGTCCGCAGCTGCACGCTATACTTGGGGGATGGAGGGAGGGGAATTTGATCGTTTGTGGGTCCATTTCAGTCAAGTCTTTCTTTGCAGGCAATTCCTGGAAAGGAGGGACTTGGTCTTAAGTTGGCAAAGACCTTTACCCAACTTGCCCTGGAAGTCCGTCTAATATGGCATCCACTGTTCTAAAGAGTAAGGAAATAAAGTAGGCTCTTCTCCCCTCCCCCACCCCCGCTTCCCCCTACCCCCCCGCTCCGCCCCAGTAGCTCTCTACATCCATCTGCTGTAACATTTCCTGCGCCCCGCTACACGCGCCAAGGCGGGTGCTATCTGCTCCACAAAATTCTCGCTTTCCAGGGGACCGCCCAGGGCGAGTGAGGAGAGAGGCGGCCACTAGCGTTTCCGGGGAGGTCGACGACCCTGGGGACCGAGCGGTCCAACTGTGCAAGGGGTCTTCGGTTTCAAGGAGAGGCTGGAACAGGAGTCACGGAACTCGGAAGGAAGATCCACCCGCCGGGGGAGAGGCGGCGGGCACCAAATCCCGCGGGAACAGCCCTCGGGCGGCGTCCGGCCGGCTCGCGGTTGCCATGGAGACCCGGGTCCCGGCCGGCCCGCCGAGCGCGAGAGGCCGACCCTTGCGGGGCCTGAGCCGCGGGTCCACCGGCGCCGCGCTCCACCCCGCTCCGCCGCCGCGTCCGCCGAGGGCCACCGTGCGTGACCGGGAGAGGCCGGGAGGCCCGCCCTGCTTTCAGGAACCAGAGCGAAGCGAGCGCCGGAGGTCGCGACCGCCCTGCCGCAAACCAGGCCGGTGGGAGAGGCTGCCTTTGACCCAGACTGCCGCCGCCACCGCCCCGCAGTCCCCGGGCTCCCGAGGGCACTGTTCAGACGCCAGCCTCCCGGGCCTCCAGGACAGCGGCTGCCGCGTCGCCGTCCCCGAAGCCCCGGGAAACATCCGCCCTCTAGGGTAAGGGGCGCCCGTGGGGCCACAGCCGCGGCTCGTGAGGAGCGCTACCCCTAAACGGGCCTCGGGAAGGGTCGCTTGGGAGACGAGTCCCCAGCCGCCCCCCAGCCGCCCCCCCTTTCGGAAACTGCGGAGGTTTGGCCGGGTCCTGCCGGCCCCTAGTGTGCGACGCTCGCATCCGCCGGCAGAGGCCGCCTCTTAGTCTTCAACGCCACGACCAAGTGGGTCACCAAGGGGGTCCTGCATCAAGAGAGATTTACCGAGGTAGCCTGTTCTTTTCACAGAGACGATGCTCGACGTACGAGGAAAACCACTTCCTGGAACCTCTGAGCTGTAGTTCAGCCTGGAGTTCCCGGCCACGGTCCAGGCGCAAACATGCTCCACGCCACCAGCGAACTGGAGTTCTCAAGCGACAAAACTTCGGAGGGGATCTCCCACCTCGCTTCCCTGGCGCTGTCGGCGGACTCCTCGCCCAGCGAAAAAAGCTCTCCTGGCTTACCCGAAAAAACGGGCTATCCTGACTCCGTTTACGTTATGGCCGCAAACATTTTTCAGGGAATTCGATTCGAAAAGTCCCCGGAGCAAGTCTTAATAAAGTACGGGAATGAACCCTTGCGGTCCTTGCCCGAGTCAGAGGATGAAGCCTTTCAGCGGTCGTCCTATGAGCTGGCTTTCAGTGCCCTGAAGTGTGAGTAGTAACAGCCTTAAAGATCAGCACTGAAAGAAAACAATGAGAGAATTTGTGGAGTGCAAACCACACACCACCACCCCCCGCCCCCGCCCGCACCTGCCCCCGCCCGCGCCCCCTTCCACGCACCAGGTTTGGTTGTTACCCATAAGCCTATCTTGGGTCAGTTGCAGATGTGAAGGAATGAGGAGAGTTCCAGTAAAATAAGCTCTTTGAGGCCAGAACTGTTTCTTCACTGCAGATCTGCCGGGGCCTAGCACTGTGCCTGGGCTTTGATAGATGGGATGCACAGTCATGAAACTGATCAAGGAAACAGTTCCACTAACGCGAAGAGTTAAGAATCCACCGAAGTATCCAAGTACAGGGTTCCCTCTCCTTGGGTTATCTCTTTGCATTTTCTGTGTTGACATCTTGTATATTATTAGTGTATGAACTTTCACAAATATAAAAACCAGTAAGAGGGTGGGGGAGAGGAACAGAGATGGAGTAAGAAGAAAGGGTGCGATATATTCAAAATGAGTGTCAAAATTAAATCAGCCCCAATTAAGGAGATCCCATTCATAACCAGTAGCCTTAATTTTGGGAGCTGGTATATTTATTCCTCCAAACTTCTGTAGAATGCCCCTTTCTAATCTGCCTCCAGGGTTTGAGATGCAATGTTTCAGACTTCCCTCGGTCGTGGTTAACTTTTATTTTTCTTAAAGATTTTATTTATTTATTTATTTGACAGAGATCACAAATAGGCAGAGAGGCAGGCAGAGAGAAAGGGGAAGCAGGCTCCCCACTGAGCAGAAAGCCCGACGGGGGCGGGGGGGGGGGGGGGGGGGGGGGGGGGAGGGGGCTAGAGGCTGGATCCCAGGACTCTGAGATCATGATCTGAGCCAAAGGCAGAGGCTTAACCCACTGAGCCACCCAGGCATCCCCTGGTTGTGGTTAACTTCATCAGCTTCTGACTATGCAGCTGACTCTAGGACAGAACCAGATATTGTTACTGTGAGAGCAAGCAAAGGGTCTGGAGGTGTTCGTTTTTGTACTAGCTATGAACTTTATAGTTTATATTACAGAATATTGTACTATATGATATTAACGTTTATATTAGTTTGTAAACTGACTGAATGTAGTTCCAAAAAAGAAGTTCCAGAAATATTTAAGAGTATTATATTAGCAGCCTGGCTGAAATGATAAGCACGTGCCCTTCCTAACAAGACAACTTGAAAGGGCAACATGAATTTTCATGTATTTCCTTAGTATTAGTACTTCCTGGGCCTTCTACCTCCTTGCACATAGGCAGTTAACAATTGTTGAGTCTAACTAAAATGTCCTATTAATTACTTAGATGTGGGGAAAAAAATATATATATATATAGGTAGTTTGCAGACATGATGCAGCTCAACTCTGAAGCCAGGAATTTGTCAAAATAGAGAGAAATTTGATGTTAAGAGGCAATTTCTCTTTAGTTTTCATTTGTATTCTCCTGCTTGAGGTTTTGGGGTTTTTTGGTTTTTTTTTTTTTTCCTTTTTAAATCTGTCTTAACCATTTTTTCTTTTCCAGTGTAATCTTTCAGGCTGTTCCATCCCTTGTTTCCATGCTTAAAAAAAAAAAAAAAAATGTAGTTTTAAAGACCAAGCTGTTGCACTTTAAATAATGAGCCCAATGAACGTTTTTACATTCTTTCCTTGCAACAGTGAAAGGCAGACTGGGCATCTATGTTAATTAGTTGGTATTTAATGTTAATGCCAAAATTCTACTATAGACAGTTTGTTTTCCTAATAGAAATATTGAATCCTACCTTTAGAAATCAGTACTAAAACCCTGAAATTATTCTATGTAAAATCAACACATTAGCTAGATGGTCATGCTGTAGTGATACATGTACTACATTATCTTTTTCTTTTTCTTGGTCTTTATTTCTGTTTTATGAAAGGGACTTGTGACTATTTGATATTTTTTAATGACCCAGAGAATCCCATTCAGATAAAGTATTGTCATAGGCCTTTACAAACCTGCTTTTGCTTGAAATGTTCATTTTTAAAATTCTAATTCTAATGTAGGTTAAAATACTAAAAGTCTTTGATTGTTTACTTGGTACAAGTATTATATTCTTATAATAATACTATCTTGCTAAAATTATTATCTCAATAATTTCTGAATATTCAAATAGAATAGAACCAGAATTTCTAAATGCATTAGATTTCCAAGATAATTAAGAGCCTGGCATTTTGCTTTAAAATATGGGATGCTCTGTGCATTTCACTTTTATCTTCTGTATTATCAGTGTTCTACCAATATTTTCACGTGATATTTTATAAACTCATTTTTGGCTTGCACAGTGTAGGTTCAGGGACTCACAGTTCAGAAAAGAAAATTCTGGATTTTCTTCTCTCTGGTTTTATAGGAGCAATAATGCTGAAAAGGTTAATGTACAAACTAAAGAGAGGTTGGGTAATGTTCCCTTTTATTGGTGAATTTGGTGAATAGGTAATTAGATCATATTACTTTTTTTTTTTTTTTAGTGTGGCAGTACAAGGAGAAGGAAATAAATGACAGAGAAAAGTCCTTAATTACATAAGTGTTAAGTATATTCCTTTGGTTGTGTTGTTTTTCAGTTTTATTGTTTGCTCTTTTGTTGATGTCCTTTGTGTATAAGCTCTTTCACACCAGAGAGTGTATTTACCTGATTAGCTTTTAAAGGTTGAAAGAGTTCAGTATGCTTTTTTAAGATGATGACAAACTCTACTCCTGCTTTACTAAATAGCCCCAAAGTCAATTTTCTGCTAAAGAAGGGAATAAAGAATAGCCTATTCCTTTTAAGTTTTCTTTCTATCAAAGAATAGAGTACTAGCAGCTAATTTGCTTTTTTAAAGAATCTCTGGATGTTTCAAGGAATTCTAAATACTAAAAAAGAAGAAAATCTGGAAAACGATTTTTTAAGAAATAAACTAATGAACCACAATTAAAGAAAAAAGAACACTCGAAGAAAAAGATTTCCCTGAAATTGTTGACCTTATCACTGGCTTAATTCTTTCTCCAGCCTCTCTGGGTATATACAGTAGTTGGTGAACTTTCAGTCCCAGGAACTGACTATGGCATTGACCAGCTCATTTCACAATCTTCTAAACCTGTCAGTGAAAAACCTAAGAAATGCTCAATGTATGGTTTGGTTATGGCTTTGGGAATTAGTAACCGTAGATGGGGAGCCCAAGACCACCCTCGGGGTCAGCGATTCACTGGAAGGACTCACAGAACTCAGCAAAGCTCTACTCGTGGTTGTAGTTTATTACGGTGAAAGGTTATTTAAAATCAACACCAGAAAAAGGTGCGTAGGACAGGGTCCAGGAGAGACCTGGCACAAGATTCCTATTGTCCTTTTCCAGTGGAGTCCATGGGCAATGCTTAATTCCCTTAAGAACAATGTATGACAGCACGAATGAAGCACTGTAGTGTGTGGAAGGCAGTATACGGGGAAGCACACCCAAGCCTCGCTGTCCAGGGTGTTTACTGGGTCAGTCGTGTAGACAGGAGTGCTCTTGTGGCTGACCTTACTCAGTCTCGAGCTCTTCCAGACGTCACGCTGATATCGTGTTCCCAATGCCCATGTAAACTAGGCCACTTTGGTCAGGCAAGCTATTCCAAAGGCTTATAGAGGTTACCTCCCAGGAGGTTGCAGGGCCAGTTCTTTCCTTGAAATGTTCAGGGTTTGGCCATCCAGGCCTGCTGAATTAATTCTTTTTATTTTTTTTAAGATTTTACTTTATTCATTTGAGAGAGAGATAGCAAGGCTGTGTGCACATGTGCAAGTGGGGGAGGGGCAGGGGTGAGAAGTACATTCCCTAGTGAGTGCGGAGCCTGATGCAGGGCTAAGGCTTGATCCCACAACCATGAGATGAGGACCTGAAGTGAAATCAAGAGTCCGAGGCTTGGGACGCCTGAGTGGATCAGTTGGTTAAGCATCTGCCATTGACTCAGGTCATGATCCCAGAGTACTGGGATGTAGTCCCACATCAGTCCTCCTGCACGGGGAGCCTGCTTCTCCCTTTGCCTGCTACTCCCCCTGCTTGTGCATGTTCTCTGACAAATAAATAAATAAAATCTTAAAAAAAAAAAAAATGAGTCAGAGGCTTGAGGACTGAGCCACCCAGGCTCACCCAGCCACCTGCTGGGTTAAATCTTGACTGCATAGTGATTCATTAGGAAAATTGTCTAGATCAATAACCCCATAAGCTCTGGTTTCATGTAAGTTTTCTTGAATGACAATAATAATATATTTGCATAGCTCTTTGTAATTCAAAAAAGTTTATGTCATTTGATATACCAGTCCTTTGGGTTGCAAGATTCTCATTTTGCAGATGAAAAATTGAGGGAAGCTCAAGAAGAGATTAAATGATCTGGTAAGGAACTTGCAGGAAGATGGTTAAAAAGAGGAAGTATTTCTTCTGGTTGGAAGGGGTGGTAGAATAGCAACCCCATCCCTAATCCTAGTTTTTTATGGTCCCATGTTATTTTATTTTAATTGTATAATGATTTTATATTTGGTGATGCCAGCTTCCTTTCCCTGTTTTGCCAAAAAAGACTTAAACAATTTTGTTTCCCTCCTTCCACATACACACAGACTGCATCTGTCTGTATTATAGAATTACATTTGATATTCTTGAAGTGAAGATTCTAGAGATCCCTCACATGAAGGAAACTCTATGAAAACATAATAAAAATAAAGAGGGAGAACCTAGAAGAGAGTCAAAAGAAGGAGTTTCTTCCACCTTTCTTCCAGAATGGGAGGGATGAAGGGTGGTCAATGTGAATTTTAGGGGTACAATAAATAGCCCTCCTCCTTTATACTTGATTTGGGAACCAACAGAGAGAGGGAAAAAAAGGTGTCTGGGAACATGGCTTTAGACCCCCAGCCAGGTGGCTTGCAGAAACTTTACTACTGACTTAGAGACTTCTCATCTAACCCATGACTCAGCTGAAGTGTAGACCTCTCTCCTGCACGTCCTGGAGACACACAGGCAGACAGAAGAGACCTCCACGTTGAAAACCTGAGCAATGGCGATTAAGAGTTCTCTTCAACAGACTAAAGAGAACAGCTGTTAATTAGTGGGGAACGGGGACGAATATTCAAGTTATTGTGCCCAACTAGGTAGGATAGGCAAGGTTTTACAATCTCCAAGTAAATCCTGATAACTCAAATTAGTTATTGGCAGAAAGTGTTTTATTTGGCCACTCCGGTTTGTTATTAAGAGGAAGACGAAGAAAGGCAGCATAATATTGTTGTGGTAAAGAACGTGCACTTTGATGCCAGACTGTCTGGGTCTGAATCCCTGATTTGCCACTTGCTGTGTGACTACAAACATCTTACTTAACCATTCTTTTCCTCATTTCCTAATCTATAAAATTGGGATCATAATGATATCTAGTTCACAGGGTTGTTATGAGAGTTCAGTGAATATATAGACCGCACTTAGAACAAGGTGTAGCACATAGAGAGCACTATCTAACGTATACAGTTACTATTAATGTTGATATCACTATGTGTGCATGTTATGTAAATTGTAGATACGCAAAGGCAATGTGTTCCCCACTGGATCAAAGGCAGCCCAGAGATGCTATTAGTTTTGACAAGAGCCCCCAAAGGAAAAAAGCAGTGTTGACAAAATCATCATTCTCTCATTCTGCCTTTCCTATTTCTTAGGAGTTAAGCATCTCCATTGTTCAAAATTCTGTGACCTGGGTGGATCTGCTTCCTTAGGATGCCTTCATTCCTATGATGACTATATTTTCTGTGATAAAAATTGGGACCCATGCTGAAAACCTATGAAGTAGCTAGGAATTGCTTTGCAAGTATTTAGTGTATAAAACTAAAGCTTATTTTCCTAGTAAGTGAAATGAGGATATTGCCTAGTATAATGCAGCCATAATTGGTGGCTCAAATATGGATCATGATTTCCAAAGGATTTCCTCTGGAAACTGGAGTCTGTGCTCCCATTAGTGACTTCTTTTTAGTTTTCCCACCTCCCAAATAAAAACAAATGCAGGGTGTGCTGTGCATATAGTAGGTTGAATGAATTGAAGCTAGCTAGCCTAGGTTTCTGCTCAACTGACTAAAGCTTTGTCCCATGATGTGTGTATATTTTAAGGAGTTGTAACTGCATTGTGTGGAGTTTTTTCAATGTATCCACTTGTTTCCACCTAGTCCCTTTGCAATTCTCTCTCTACCTGCAGTGCTCTCTCCTCTCAGATCTTGCCATGGCTAACTCCTTGTCATTTGGGACTTAGATGAAATGTTATTAATGTCTTCACTAGTGAGTCCTACCAAATATTTCAGTAAGAAGTAATATTGATCTAACACAAACTCTTCAAAAGACTGTAGGAAGAGGGAACGCTTCCCACTTTACAAAGCTGGCATAACCCTGATCCCAACATTGACAAGGATATTACAAAAAAGGAAAATGAAAGACCAATATGCCTCTTGAGCATAAATATAGGACAAAACTCCTAAATAAGATATTAGCAAATTGAATCCAGCGATACATTAAAAATGATAAGACATTTTAAATTGTATCCTTTTTAATGTTTTTCAAAGGACATAAATTAAAGGCTGGAATTCCTTTATTATTACTTTAGCTATTCTGATAATGTTCCTTTAACTAGGATTTCATGTGGAGCCTGGGTCCTAAGGGTCCAGGATTCATAAAGATGCCAAGTATTCATCATGTAATTGTAATCTGAGTCTTTGTCAAGAGTTGAGGTGAATTTTAGACAGGAAGATAAAGGGGTTGTATTGTCTAAAGTGTATTTTGATTCTAAAGTTTTCATTTTCTGTTTTGATATTTTCAGTAACAGACATTTTCCTTGTCTTACAGTTCAAGATATTTTGGAAACTATGTTAATAGACAGCTATATCTTCCCAAGTACCACAATAGTAAGTAGACAAGCTTTATATAATTAGCTGTCTCATGATTGTTATTTAGAAAGTACTAAAAAAGCCTTTAGATTTAAATCAAAACTAGTTTGCTTCAAAACACATCCTGAGGGGCGCCTGGGTGGCTCAGTGGGTTAAGCCTCTGCCTTCAGCTCGGGTCATGATCTCAGGGTCCTGGGATCGAGCCCCGTATCGGGCTCTCTGCTCAGCGGGGAGCCTGCTTCCTCCTCTCTCTCTCTCTCTGCCTGCTTCTCTGCCTACTTGTGATCTCTCCCTGTCAAATAAATAAATAAAATCTTAAAAAAAAAAACAACAACACATCCTGAACTCTTTCCTACCTCTAATTCTGATCCTAGTCCTTTCTTCGTGATGAACATAGCAAAAATTGTCTTTTAAAAAGGTTTATTTTTTTTTTACTGGATTTTTTTTCCATTTGGAAGTCCTTCTCTATCTCCCAGTACCACCAGACTATGTAAAAATTGTCATATTTCTGCTCTCTTGTGAAAAAATAGTGGAATGGAAAATTGTATACTTTCCTTCATGTGTTTTTCCCCTTGGTAGCCAGATCATTTGAGCAGTCTTATTATTGTGATGCTGTATGATTTCCAAGATAGAAAATTTCAAGCTCGTCTTTTTTCTGATCATGAAGAGCCCATAGCAGAAGTTCAAGAAGTAGAGAACCTTCTTAACAGGTAATTGTTATAAAGTGCAAAGGATATTTTATATGAAATAATAATTAGTATTTTCACTGGTAAAATTGTATACCATATAATATATAGATAAGTGTCAAACATTTATAGAGGAAAAAAATAAAAGTTCATGTTTCTCAAGTTCCTTTACAAACAGTCTTGAACAGGTTAAATATTCTGTTTAAAATCAAGTTGTTTTGAAAGCTTGAATTGTAAGATCCAGCTTGTAAGTATTTAAAAAATCATGAAAAATTCCTAATAATGTTTTAGCATATACAAAAGTTAAACGTCATTTGAAACAGCTATTATTTATTGACCTAGCTCTGTTTATAGCTCTCCAACAGAAGAACCCACTACTTTGCCAAATTAAAAAAACAAAACAAAACAAAACGCAACTTCTATGTAGTTAAGAACAAACTGTTAAGTTTTAAGTTTGTTTTCTTTTTAGCTTAAATCTTGGCAGAAACCTACTATGGAGAAAATAATAGTACCTATCTAAAAAGGTGCTTGGGAAAATTAATTAAACTAATGGATATGAAATGCTTAGCTTAGAACCACACACATAATAAATGGTCAATAAATGTTAAATGTTACTTTTAGGGCTTTTGTTATCCTGTTGTTGAACCTTAATGGAAAGCAGAATATAGCAACAAAAACAAGAAACAATCTTGTAGAAGAGTTTTCCCTAGTGAATAATCTGAAACAGTTACCAGTATGGTATTTGTTTTTATGTTGTTATGGGAAATTCAAGCAATTTCATTTAGATTATGAGGCCGGAGGACTAAGGTAATGGAGTGATAATAATAACTGACAGTTACTGAACACTTAATATGCATCAATCACTTGTCAGGAGCCCTTTAATAAAACCCTCTGAGGAGAATACTGTTAGCAAGCTGTATTTTAATACATGGAAAAACTGAGGCACACACAGGTCACGGGAACCTACCAAAGGCCATAGATCCAAGAAGGGAGTGGCCAGAATTCAAAGTCAGGAAGGCTGAAACTGGAGTCCTAGTGTTAACCATTTCTAAGCTATTGCTCCTTCCACTTAGGACAGTGAGGTCTTGCTGAAGTCCTCTGGAAGACTGAAGTTAAGACATAGTCACATCTCCTGTTAGCTGTAGCCATAAGAAATTATAAGATGGAGAAGAGCAAAAACAATCAGAGGTATCTCCCCTCTGTGTTAGATGGGTAAGACTCACCCTGTTTCCTGTGTGGGTTTCCGGGAAACCACCTGACTGCCCATCCCACTCCTGGGCAACCTGCCTCCCGGGACAGGCATCCAGATACATCAGAGAGAATTGGTGGGGCGATATGCTGTGGGACAGGCTTGGAGTTTCAGCTTTGCTGAGCTTCCCTCAGTTTCTGTTTGACTTAGTCAGGACTCAAGAGACACTGGTTGAAGTCCCAGCTAGTCTCTGTGAGCCTAAGGAGAATGGAGGTTAGCCTGAGTCAGCCAGGAAAGCAACGGGCCTCTAACCAAATAAGAAAGACCAGACTATGCTTTCATCATCAGCAGATTTTTAGCTGAACGCTAGCAAGGCAGTGAATAGGACAAGCAAGGGCCATGGCTCAGGAGGCCAAAGGAGCCAGAAGATACTACTGTCCGAGGATTCCTGATTCCCAGTTCCTGAGCTTATGTGTTATAGTTGTGTTTAAGTTTCTTCATATAGACTAACTTGTTTTAATCATCTCCATACCCCAATTCCAAATTCTAAGTTTCCCAGGAATTTGGCTCCATAGGGTCTGGGTGCATTCCTGGGCCAATCCCTCTTGGCCAATAGAGTAGGAATCTCTCGATCAACCTCTGTAGATCTCCGGGGGCTTGGGGCTGGGTGCTGTTGTCTCCAGGGAAGCAGAGTCATTGCACACTTGAAGTATACCTTAGTATGTTTCTACTGAGAGGATAAAAACCAGTTTTAAGAGGTGATAGAAGTAATTATTTAGCAAGAAACCCACTAAGAATGATTTCCTTCTTATGAAAATTCTGTTTGATCTTTGTTGTTGTTATTGTCTTTTCCAGAGATCCTTGTGTTTTATACACTATGTACCAACTTGTGTCTTTTCCTTTTATTTGTTCATGGCTTTAGTGATCCAGTCTAGGTGATACCTATTACCATTTTGAACATATGCAGGGTCCTTAAGAACCCATTCCTTGTATAAATCAATTATGTTTTTAATACTAAGTGCATGGGTGCAATAAAAAGATACCATAGCCATGTCCTCTCTCACTCCCCATGTCCTCACACTAGTCCAAACATCAGTTTGTACCAAATAATGTGTTGGACTTTTGTGAGGCAGAATTGGAGATGAGCAGCGAAAGACTAGAGAGGGAGCAGGATGGGAAAGAGTTAGTAGTCCCTCCATCCACACCACCCAAAACTATTCCTCCTGAAGACTTCCACATTAAATTATGGCACCAACATCAACCTGGACATCAACCTTGATACTTCTTGTCTCCCCTTTCCTGTGCCCATACTATACCTCGTGTGGTAACTCCACCTGGAAAACATGCTTCATCTGTCTACTTCCCATTTCCGCTACTACCTTCCAGAGCCAAGCCACCAACTTGCTACACCAGCTTCCTTGTTGATTTCCCTGCCTATAACTCATACTTTCCCACAATCTCTTCTACATGACAGGTACAGCAGTATTTTAAAAATGTAATTATTTGGTCATAAGAGAGTGTCTTGAACTTATGTCTTGCTGTATCATCTAGAAAACTGGACAAAATATATGAGGCAAAGATTTGGGCATTAGACAAGACACAGCACAGAAACTTGATCCCTGAGAGAATAAAAACAAATGAGATGAGCGTTAGAATAATCCTGGCTTTATGCCTAGAGGTACTTTCCAACTGCAGTACAGGAAGGGGGGCAGCCCAAGAGGAAAATGGTAGTCTCACTAAGAAAATAGAGATCAGAATTTTGGAAGGCTGAATGATAATTTCTTTTCTTTTTTATTCTATTAAAGTGATAAGGTCATTTATATTGAATAATTTTTTAAAACGTTAAAACAAAGCAGGTACTTTACTGAAACAGGGATTCATTACATTGGTTCAGATATGTCTCTTTTCTCGTCTTCCCCAATTCTCTCATTCCCTATAATGTTCCAGTTTCTCATTTGCCAAAATGGTCCCTAAATACTTATTCATGGGTTTTTATATCTCATATTCTTTCCACCTCTTCTTTGGAAACTCTTAGACTATTTTGCTTAATTAGTGAATGTTCTGAAACATTCTGAAACAGTATGATGTCTGATTTTATATTTGTATGAGAAATTCAAGTAATTGACTGAAGATTATCCTTTGGCATTGAGAAAATATTCTAGTTAGGGGTGCCTGGGTATCTCAGTTGGTTGGGTGTCTGACTCATGGGTTCTTCTGGGGTTGTGATCTTGGCATAGTGGGATGGAGCCCCCTGTTGGGCTCTGTGCTCGGCATGGAGTCTGTTTGGGATTCTCTCCCTCTCCCTCTGCCCCTCCCTTGACTCACATGTGTGCCCTCCTTCTCTCTCTCTCTCTCTCAAATAAATAAAATCTTAGAAAAAGAAAATATTCAATTTATGCTTAAAAAGAACCACATATATACAATATACAAAAATAAATTTGAAATGGATGTTAAGACTAGAAACCATAAATCTCCTAGAAAAAAACCCAGGCTGTAAGTCCTTGGCATCAGCATTATTCGTTTGCACCAGTCTCCTCAGGCAAGGGCAACAAAAGCTAAAATAAATTAACAAAAGCTAAAATAAATAAAATAAAATGGAATAATAAATAAAATAATAAATAAAATAGCTTTTGCACAGAGAAAGAAATCGAACAAAACAAAACGGCAGCCTACTGAATGGGAGAAGATATTTGCATATCATCCATCCAATAAAGGGTTAATGTCCAAACTATATAAAAAACTCACACAACTTAATATTAAAAAACACAACCAATTAAAAAAGGGGGAAAGGACTTGAGTAGACATTTTTCCAAAGAAGGCATACAGATGGCCAGCAGCACATGAAAAGATGCTCGACATCAATACTTATCAGGGAAATGTAATTCAAAATCATCATGAGATACCGGACACCTGTCGGATTGGCTATTATCAAAAAGATGAAAAATAACAAGTGTTGACAAGATGTGGAGAAGGAGAGAAAAGCAAATCCTTGTACGCTGTTGGTGGGAATATAAATTAGTGCAGCCACTGTGGAAGACAGTACGGAGGGTCCTCAAAGAGTAAAAGTAGAACTACTATAGGATCCAGCAATGTCACTGCTGGATATTTATCCAATGAAAATGAAAACACCAATTTGAAGAGATCTATGCACCCCTGTGCCCATGGCAGCATTATCTACAATAGCCAAGATACGGAAGCAATAGATAAATGGATGAAGACGGGATGTATACATAAAACTCAGCCATAAAAAAGGAATGAAATCTTGCCATTTGCAACTACATGAATGGACCTAGAGTGTGTTATGCTAAGTGAAATAAGTCAGAGAAAGACAAATAGCATATGATTTCACCTGTATGTGGGATCTAAAAAACAAATGAACAAACGAAACAGAAATAGTTTCATAGATCCAAGAAACAAACTGTGGGTTACCAGAGCACTGAGGGCTGGGGTGAGCAAAATGGGGGAAAGGGGTTAAGATGTACAAACTTCCAGTTATAGAATAAATAAGCCATGGGTATGCAATATACAATATAGGGAATACAGTCAGTAATATTCTGATAACTTCAGTGACAGATGAACTAGAATTAACTTGGGGATCATTTCATAATGTCTAGAAATACTGACTCACTATGATATATACCTGAAACTAATAGGATATTGTATGTCAATTATACATCAATTAAAAAATAAGAAAATAAACTGAAGGAAAATGGTATATTAGGGTTCTATTCTGGCAACTGACCATACCCCAACTCAAACAAGAGTAGGCAAAAAAGAAAGAATTTATTTAAGATCTTTCATGGAAGATTGAACATCAAGACCGCAGGAAGGGCAA